TATATGTGATACTAAGAAATAGTAACTGGACACTTTGGCACGTTTTAGCGAAATAGAATTATTGATGTGGTGGTCTTTACTATGTCAGATATATGTGAAAACTTTATATCAATACAACAAAATACTAAAGCCATAAATTCTTAATTTTCCCAAATGAGTAACGAAATGTTTCTATTAAAAACAACTGAAGGCAGAAGGTGACATTTTATCTTCAATGTAGAGAGTTCACTTCAGTCATTGCTTGCTCTTCTGTCGCTTGTTGCATATATATCGGTTGCCCAATGAGTCGACATGGTATTTACCACTTTCAAGCATACTTGAGACTTAGCAAATCGCTTTCTATGAAAGTATAGAACGAACAGAAACCGTTACGGCCCTTATGGTACAAAAAATATAATAAAGAATCATCAATAGTTTTACCGTAATAATGAAATGCATTTACGAGCCGCAAGGGGATCGAAAATTTTCACAATTTTTAATCGATGCATCATCTTTGCGTTTAAAAAAAACTTTCTTAAATAATGCTTCTTCATATTTGCGAGCCAACATGTGTCGAAAGTAATTAATTTCAATACTTTGTCATAAATTCTGCATTAGCAGTAACAACAAGAGCAACGATAACAAAAACAAAGACAGCATCAACGGTATTAATACTTGTCAATATAAGATTTGAAAACAAAAAAAAAAAAAAAATAAAGAAAATAAATAAACAGAAAAACAAAAAAAATTTACCATAATAAAAACTAGTTTTACCTGAATATGAATAATAAATGCAATAGTATTGCACTCACCGCCCAAGACAGTAGATATACTATGTTCATCCTTTTGTTTGTAACATATAAAATTTTAAATTAATTGTTGAATTTAAACCCTACCGCTTCAGATTAACGAAGCGCCCCAATATATTTGTGCACTAGATTGAAATCGGGAGTAAAAAATATGTGCCCCATATGTCGTGCAAGAGTTTCGCTTGATTTTTTTCTTTTCACATAGAGTAAAGGGATACATATATAAAAGGTATCATGCTCAGCATCCTCAGCAACAAACTAAAGAACAACAAAGTAAAATCATTAAAACCAAGCAAACCATTTCATTAAATACCCTATATGTGATGTAATTAATTCTTCAAATCATCTCCCAAAAATTGTCATTTATTTCTATCTAAAGAAACACTTTCCATAGTAGCCTTATATCGTAAACCGATTAGATCCAAATTTGGCAAATTTAATTTACTTGCAAACCGTTTTATTCTTCTTCGTCCATATTGTTTATAAATTACAAAAAGTTAATTAAAAAAATATTTGCTTTTCACCAAAAGTCTTATATGCGATGGCTTATCCCAAAATTAGATGCAATGACTCCCAATTTATGAGTATTTTTTAGAAACTTTGTGCACAGGCATATCTTAAATCTAAGAACCCGCTCTACTATATTTATGAATTGCATTGAACAATTTTTACGTCCACTCCCTATATAACGCCTTATTTCATAAAAATGGAAAACAACTTACAAATTTTTATTATTTCTCGACAAAAATGAATTCAATAGAGGTAGTTAGGCATTTTAAATTAATGCATAAAATTTGGAAGAGATATTCTTTGAAGCCCCTTCCATGTAAGCATTCTAACAATAAAAAGCCTTTATGTGGCAACAAAGCGTAACCTTTAGTATTTCATAATAAAAGTTGGTCCAAATAGTGATCTGACATCTTGATACACTTCCTTAAGTATAGATCAAATAAGTCCATTTTTTGTCGATCTCTTCCCATATAAGGGTTCCCATAAGAAGAGTAAGCCTTCATTCGCAGACCATGTCAGATAGAACCAAAATTAAGAGGTGCTTGCATGTATTTTGATCAGCAAAATTTATTGGTAAAAATGGTAAAGCAATGCAAACTATACTACCCTTAAATTCTCTGATTTTGACCTTTCTCTATATAAAATAACCGTTTTCCATTTAATATTATTGACTTATTTAGTGTATGCAGCCATTAACCCTTGATCGCTCAAAAGTGCATTTTCGACCTTCATTAGCTTTGTTGTTTGTCATGTCCCAATTATAGGTTTTGGCCCCACCGGTTTAAGAGTGGATATTTTGGACGATCTGGAGAACGGAAGACTTTTTGGACGTAAATCCAGCTCGAACTCTCAAAGAACAAAGAACGGACAGTTTAGCAATTGATGATTTAGCCGTTTCTCGACATTTACATGCAATGGGGAAGATTGAAAAAGAGAGAAATGGCTACCATACGCATTGACTGAAAATACCATTTCGAACCGGTTTGACATAGCGATTTCATTGCTTGCTAAGTAAAAAAAAAAAAAAACAAAAATTCTCTGTGGCCTATCGTGACTGGCGATGAAAAGTGGACAAACGTAAAAAGGAATTGATTAGTCCAGGCGAACCATCCACATCGACACCGAAGCGGAATATTCATCGCCATAAAGTTGTGCTATGCATAGGGTGGCATCAGCAAGATGCAGTGTCTTATCAGTTACGAAAACCGAGTGCAACCGAGTTACTGCAGATGTCTACCGACGTCATTCGAACAAATTGAACGATGTATTGTTGCAAAAGATCTTTCATTTGCATGGAAACGCTCGGGCACATGTTGTCAAGAAAACACTGTTGCAACTTGAATGGGAAGTTCTGCCATTCTCATCCCATTGACCAGACCAAACGCCTTCTGCTTACCATTTGTTCAGGTGGATGCAGCACGACTGGGCTGGCGTGCGGTTTGGCCGATATCAATAAATCCCTTTTTCAAGTGAAAAAAAATTATCAAAATATATATCGTGCAAGCACGGTCCACATATTATGGTGTACTATATTTAACAGTCGGTATTCCTGAATTATAACATTTTCATTTGTTTTTAGTTAAAAATTGAATTCAATAGATTTTGTTGGTTAAATTTAGCGACACATATATATGTATATTTGAGCGTACGTGAGTGTGAGTGAGTATGTGTGAACGCCACATATATATGAATGGATGCGTATTTAATAGATTTTTCGACTCATGTAAACTAAGTAAATTTATGACTAACTTCACAAACCCCACGTGGTAGATATTATTACATAAAATTTTGTACAATTTTTTTACAATCATTTACAATCATTGCTTGTTAATAATTTAATTTTCATATTTCAAAAAAATTCGCGCATTTCGATTCATATAATTTTTTGGTGGCTTTTATTGATATGAAAAGAACTTTAATATTGTTTATCAGAAATTATTCTTCGACATTGACTAGTTTTCAACAATAGCGAAAGCAGAAACTTTGCACAATCATTTCTTGATCGATTAAGAATCCGTAGTTAAAACTGTAGATGAAATTTCGCCGCACGCATGCGCACAATAAAGAAAGAAACCGCATCAATCTCGATAAAACATTATCAACATTTTCATATTTTCAATTAAGTGAAGATATTATGGAAAAACTGTGACCCAGATATTCGCCCAGACCATCTATATTCTCGTCTTCAAAGTTGTAGCAAATCCTAGTTAAGCCAGCATATATATCTTGTTTTACACAAATTAAACAATTTTTCATAATTAACATTTTACTTTGTACGATCATCATTTATGTAAATGAAACAAATAGGGTCGGAACCGAATCTTTTATACCCATCACTAAAAAAAAGGCAAAAGAAGTAAAAGAACAAAAGTTCTCATGCTCTGTAATATGAAGTGGACGCAGTTAATTTCTTCTATTTTCAAAATAAAAGTTTTTTTTTGTATATAGACATGTGGGCGGTGTAGGCGTGTTCTTGGAAAAGTATGGTTTATTTTCAAATTCTTTTCCAAGTTTGCAAGCGATATCTTCATTTTTGCGAACGAGAGAATATTTACCATAATCTCACAAACGGACAGATGGACAGATGAACAGACCGAAATGATTAGGTGCACTCGAAACTTGAAACTGGCCAAGACTTTATGATATTTTTTTAAAAACTTGCTTCGATGCGTTGCATAGATTTTGAAAAGAAAATAATGATATTATGGCACTCTATAATATTTACAAGGCATGGCAAGGAATTTTTCCATTTTTATCGGGGTAACACAGTGTCGCTCCTAAAGTATACAGATTTATATTTTTGTATATTTATCTGCTATACTTTATGGGCATGAGGTAAAAAACAAATTTTTTAATCCTTTTGAAGAGGACTAAATAGCCTCACTTAACATAGTACTGTAGGCGTGTACCTCGATCAAATTGGCCTACCAACACCAATCTATGTGCAAGGGCTTCCACTGTTTTTGCCGAATTCAAAGTCGATAGCTTAATCGATTCAGAATTCGATGTTGATCAAGAATACATATATATATGTACATATATACACATATATATATATATATATATGTATATTCTTGATATATATATATACTTATATATTCTTTATATATATATGTACTTTGTGGGATCTCTGAAGCATGCTTGTGGGCGTTGCAAACGTTTTAGCGAAATAAATATGCCCCTCATCCTCCGATAATGGGCATAAAAATGATATATATATATATTGGATTTGTTTGCCATTGCATGTTAAACATAATTATGAAGCATATGTTTTAAAAATATTAATTATATTAAATGAACGCATACCGTAAACATATTCATTATATTGCGTTTTAAGGATACGATGATATCTTTCTTTTGTACAATAGAAATTGAAAATTTTTGAATCCAAAAATAAACTGTTTTAACTATCCTACACGATTATTTTGAATTTTCGTTCTTGGGAAGATATTTGATTTCTGTGATCACCGCATTCATTGGCACGCGTTTTTCACCCAATCGGACTGAATTAGAAATTTTGCCCTGACAAAAAATACATCATGTTTACAAGCACTCCAATGCCTAGCCTTTCATATTACGACTAGAATGACAATGCCATTATAAACTCTTCACTCTTCAGTGCCGAATATAAAAATTTTTTTACCAAAGTTGAGAATTTACTTGAATTATTTTCGAAATAAATTATTTAGAATGACTTCTTACTTAGTAAACTTGGACTTTACTGCTTAGTAACATAGATATTTATGTTTATAAAAGAATTCATAAAAAGACAGAAGAAATATCTGAGTGCGATTAATATTAAGATGTCTTAAAAGCAAACACGTTCAGAAATCAAGCAAAAGAGATCGATTCGATCGATCGTTTGTAATTGAGCTAGTATAGCGATGGACCATAAAACCTTTTCCAACTTCCGTTAAAGTATATTCAACATTTTCAATTGCACTTTGGCCGATAAATATCGCAAAATTCTTTATTAACTGCGCACGTACCATTGGCCCGCCTCGAATCATTTCTATAATAAAGTTTCTAATAAGCCATCTATATATCAAATTATACTAATGGATATAGTGTCATATGATTCGATCTTTTCAGTGCCTTAAGCTTTTTCAAATGCCATTTAAGGCAGATGGCACAAGCACTGAATTATTATTTTGATTATAGGATTACAAAAATATCCATACTAAGCAAAGGCAATATTTATTTGAGTAATCAGTACTATTCCGCAAATCTTATAATATTTTCCGTTCACTTTTAACTCGTTATCTATAACAGCTTGTAAATAATTAATTAAAAGAATCTTTTGAAAATTTTTTGATTATTTTTTTTTTAAGTTTTTTTAGTTTTTCAAAATGATTTTATTGGTTTTTTATAAACGGAATAAATCACTTTTTAAGCGTACCGTACGTTTACAACACACATCGAACTTATGATGAATCTATTATTAGCTTAATTAAAAAAAAAATACAATAATAGAAAAATTATAAGATTTTTTGCAAACTCACAAACTAATAAATAAATATGTCCGCGGATTTTATTTAATTAAAATACGTTGATTTCTTTTTTTAAATTTTTTTTTTTTTTTTGCACTTATTAAGAGCAAATACTCTCACAAACCAAAATATAAATAAACAAAAATAAAAAATCAAAAAATTCAGAAAAAAGAAAAAAAAAAAAAAAAAAAAAACAAAAAACAAAAAAAAAAATTACAATAAATTTCAAATACTCTTCGCGTTAACGTAAAAATCAAACATTTCGAGAATTTTTTTTCACTTTCACGATATTCGAACGATGTTAAGAGAAATTTTTATATAAAAAAACTTCAAGTTACGCCATTATTTGCACAAAAAAAAATATATATATAATGCAATAGTAAAAGAATTTATTAACATTTATGATAGCAATAATAAAAACACTTTGAAGATAAGAAAAACACACATACTCTTGTTTATTTAATTCAAGCAGAATTTATTTGAGTTTTTAACAAATTCATTATATTTTAGCTTTTACTCGACCGCTTCTTTCTATTTGTTTTAATTTACTTTATTCCCAAATTTTTTTTTTTTTTTTTTTTTTTACATATTGCTTTGATTTTTAATGTAATAAATAATAATACATATTCTCTTGTACCTAAATTATAAAAACATTTTGTAATAACAAATAACACACTATTAGACAAAATATTGAAACAATCATTTAACGATGCCACGATCTATTCGGTAGGACGTTACCGTCTAAACTGAATTCATCGCCCATCGTTCATTATGACCACGTCCAACAGGCGTTCTAAACGTTCACAATTCACATGCTTTTTAATCTGTATATGTTTACTTGTGTATACGCACTTATAGATATATATAGATATATATATATATATATATATATATATATATATATATATGTATGTATACATATATGTTCGCATGTTTATAATATTTTGTTTTTCCACTCTCTTTGTCTTTATCTCTTTCTTTCACACTTTCTCACTATCTCTCTCATTCTCTCTATCTATCTAATTCTCTCTCTTTGCCTCTGCCCTTGCCCCTCGCACAACCTTCCTAACATACTATTCTTTGATTTAAATGAGAAAAATTGTATCATTTCTACGAATATTTAGCTTTCATTCTGACTCCAGAGCTTTTCTATAAAAGCTCACTCTTACGCTCTCGCTCTACCTTTCCCTCATGTAATATACTATGCTATGTTCGTTCTTCTTTTAAGTTATAATTTCTTTCAATATGTTTAGAAATCTTTTGCTTAATTCAAACGTATTATTAATGTATGAGTGACACATTTTTATCACATCTCAACCCATAACTCATACGTCATGATATGTCATATAAAAAATTTGCACATACCATAAAAATAATAATAATTAAATTTTCTGTATATTTGCTATGAGATTTCTAAAAAAGTCACTGCTTAAGCTGAATGGACGGTTATAATTTACGCATAACCCAGAAAGTAGTTGTCAGATATACTCACACATCGATAAGAAAATTTGAACATTGGATTTAATCAAAGAAAAAAACGCAATTCAATTAGATTACGAAATCTATAGTACATTTTTATTCTATAGGATGGAAGTAAACTCCGGTTTCTCTCGTCTTTCGTTTATACCGCTTCCTTATCATGCTTGCTGTATTATATTGTATTCGGAACACGCTCATTTCCTGATCGTGAGAAATTATTCCAGAATTCTATTCAAAGTTTTAACATTTTGTCGGCACCAACAACAACGAAGGAGACCGATTTAGATAAGTTCTTCTATGATCTACTTGCGACCCATGAAGCATTAAAAATTATTAAGTTTATAAACAATTTCTTAGCAAGATTTCAAGAAATATCGCTCACGTGTATATTTTCAGGCACAGTACATTGTCAGAAAATTATTTGTTTAATTTTGCATTGAATAAAGAAGAAAGAAATGTTTACTCTGAATGCACTCGCATGAAAAGAGCTTGAGTATGTTCGTGGAAAGTAACTAACGATATTTCCTGTCGACACCAGACACGACTTTTTAATCGACTTCGACTCGCCTATGCCGAGATAATCTCAACATTGATCGAATAAACTCTTTCCTCTCTTCGGAACTTTCACTCGAGTGAAGTTACAAGGTGCTCCATTTTGCGCATTTGCCATTTGTTTCGATATTTTAGTAAAATCAGTCTTATAAATTTAAAAAGCGCCAGAAGGCGCTGAACTACAGACAGAATTAGAAAAATCCCTTGGGTGATGAAAGATGAAATGCCAATCTCACTGAAGAACAGTTCTTAGTTTGCAACGTTATCAGGCCGCACTAATCTTAAGTTGCAAAATACCGATGTGCGAGTCTCATGTAAATATTGCTTACAAAAAAATTTGTCTCCTCGTCAGCTAAACTTGTTATACGACATTGGCTTTAGTTCATAAACACAAATTTCCGTTCTATTCCACAGAACTTCTATTCGTTAGTCAAACTACCAAAACAAATTGGAAAATAACCGCCCTCTCAGTAATAGCAAGAGAACAGTGACAATTTTCAAAAAGAAACAGGAAACGTAGACTGCTTCCATTATGTCAGAAATATTTATGAGAATCAAACAGGAAAAGAAAGCGAAATTATTAGCTATTGCCTTATTTCTGCAGACTTCGCATTGGGAAAGTCAATCATCGGCGAGGAAAATCTAACGGAACAACTCTTCGACCATCGTCTTAAGCTCCAAACAATCAACCAAGTCCACATAAAGTTACAAGCAAGCAAACTTTAATTTTTTTCCATTTATTACTCCTGAGTTCAACAAGACAGAATCTTGAAAGTGATTCTGTAATTTCAGCCCATCAAAATACCTTGCCTTCAATTAGTAAGAATTCTAGATGCACCCACTCATTATTATCTAAATACCGAAATTTAATTGATTTAGCTTTCATGCGTTTTACTCTTGACAGTGGAGAGAGCATTATTCACATTGCCTACATATTTCGCCCCAAAAATTGGAATAGACGGCTACGTCCACAAATATTACAACTAGCGTTCGACATAAGAGATTCGGCCCCAGCCGAATATAATTTTCTTACTTGTATTTTTAGAAAAGTTATCAGTTTACTAAAAATTACTTCGCAGAAACCATGTGGAAGTACAATTTCTTATATTTTTCCAAATTTATTGCACTAATAATCGTTGCAGTAGAAAGGCTAACCTTTGCCTCATATTCAATATTTTTGCAATCTTCCTGGAAACAAATATTTCGTTCATAGACTGGTGATGGACGTCAAAAATGTTTTTATACCCATCACCGAGGATATATAGTTTGCAACGCTCAGAAGGAAGCATCACCGACGCCACAAAGTGTATATATCCTTGATCAGCATCAAATTCTAAATCAATTTAAGCATGTCCGTCTGTCCGTCTGTGTAATGTCTGTTGTAAACATATTTCCGGTCGCAAAAAGTATACTATCAACTTAAAATTTGGTGGAAATGTTGGAAATTCTTGCACATATGTTGGCATTGAAATTGGGTCAAACCGGTCAAAGGACACGCCCTCAGCACCACGAAATCTGAGGATAAATCTTTTTTTTAAATTTGTCTTCGGAAACAAGCATCAAAAACCCCATAAAGTACATAAATTCTTGGCCAGCTTCAAATCTTGAATGCACCTAAACAAGTCCGCCTGTTCCTCTGTCCATCTGTCTGTTTGCGCAATTTGGTAGTATTTATGGTAGACATTCTCCTTTTAGCGAAAATGAAGATATGGCTCACAAATTTACAAACGAATTTGGAATTGACTTAAACTTTTCAAAGGACACGCCTACAACGCCCACATGATTATAGGACAAAAATTTTTTTATTGAAATACTCTTAGTTAAAAATAGAAGATCTCAGCTGCGCCTACTTCATATTATAGAGCGCGAAAATGTTGTTCTTTTAGTTGTTGTGTCTTTTTCAGGATACCTGTGATGGATAGAAACGACTCGGTCTCGACCGAATTTAATTTTCTTACTTGTTTACATTTTCAATAATTCGCTACATTTAATAGTGTTATATAACAAAATTTGGAAAATCTTTTAAAGCTTTGCTAAATCCAAGAAAGTATATCTTGTTCATCCTCTTGGAAAATACAAAAAAAAACTATCAAACTGTCCGTAAATTCTTACGCAAATAACTGACAGATAGGCAATGTCCATGTAGTAAACAAAATGCAGAATCGAAAGTTTAAAACTGCGAATATAATATATACGTATAGCGACAAATATTATATGCCGTCCTCTCATGCTACTCATACCAGCCAAAGGACTCTTCGCTATCGATATATTGATCACATATTAAAAAATTCAAATGCCTGTTGATTATTCCACACATACATAAATTGATCTAAATTTTCACGAAAATTCAAATAAGAGAAAATAGAAAATAACTAGACGACCCATGCGAACCATATTTTCAAATAATATGTTGTAAATAAATAAGAGCATAGTGTATCTGCCAGAAAGGAAAATAAGTTTTCGGTGTGATTAATGGTCACAAGCGGATCTATTAATATATAACCAATCAACGTTAGCATTACCAAGTTTACCGATTCGTTAAATCTATAGGAAGATGTAGTGTATTTAGCAAGATGATGTAAGTGAAATGCATTACAAAAATGATAAAAAGTTTTATTCACAAACACTTTGCGAAAATGTTTCATTATAGGATGAATATGCAAAGACCTGTGCAAGATTTTAGTTTTTCTTACGCGACCGACCGTCTTAAGTACGTAACATAGAGGCTTATAAACAGCATGGCCTGTTACAGTGTTGGAAAGCAAGTAATTTGATTATAGCGAATCCGTCTATGACGGCAACAGATTTCTTATCATGATGTAACGTGCGCACCTGGCGTGAAGCCTTAATCAGAACCATAGTTCAATTGGAGACCCCTCAGGAAGTAAGACAATCCCCTTTGAAACGGACCTTACCACCCTGAGGTAGCGAATTAGAACACGAATGTGGGCAATTTTCTCGCTCACTAA